TTTACTAATTGCAAATAATTTGATCTAATAGTATGCGCCACCCAAGGGTGTGCATACCACCGGTATATAAATTAATGGCAAATATACTCTTGCTTCTCGAATACCTCGAATTTGAAAAAAATTCTTCAAAAATTCTAAAAGCAAAGATCTGGCCAAACTTTTAATAACGTAAAAGGTATTGAAAATTATTGTTTTTTTTTTCATTGTCAATATAGGTTTATGGAATTGCTTCTATAGGTTCGCTCTCTGTCTCTCTCTCTCCCCTAACAACATCACAAAGTGTTCCCTTGTGCATTAAATTACTTGCCCCTTTTTGTTGCTGCTCTCGTGGCTGGATTGCATGCAATCACAATCGGAAGAATTTCCGATGGTAATTAATTTCAGACAAATGTAAGTTCAAATACAGAAGTCTCTAAATGGCAGAATATAATCTAATAATCTAATGAAAAGGAAAGGGTCTGCAATCAATTAACGCAACTGCTAACTGGCAGTTGATAACTTTCACTTCAACGTACCGTTAACGCTATTCTATTTTGCTCTCTACACTCTTGCTATCCTCAATAGCTTAGTCATCTGTCTCTCATTCTTCACGCTCACTTGGGAGAATCACCATCCTCACAAGTATCGAATTTTTTTCTAACCGTTTGCTCTCACATCACAATTGTTCTACCTAAAATAGGGTATGAGTAACCTTCTCGCTATGTTTGGCTATTTGAGTTTCAGTTATAACTGTAGTTTTGGTCGTCGCTACAATTCGTCACAACTACTCTGGTACCCCTGTGCAAAGTCCTACCCGGAAGTTTCCCTGATGACACTAGTTATGAATACCAAATTCACCATAAGTATCTCCAAATAAGTTTTGCAATCATCAAGTCCAATTTCACCTCTAATCCAGGTTATGGTTTCTTGAACATGCCCCCAAGGTTTTTATTTATTGATTGCTTTAGTGCTCCGGCCTCCTGGTTCTAGGTTAACGTCCTTTCCAAATTTCGCCCCATTTTTCAAGTTTCTAAAATGCCCATCTGTTTTCTATCATTCCCGACGTTCTAGCTATCAGGGGAGCGTGGTTCTTCATTTATAGGTTCTCAGTGTACCAAAAAGTCAGTTCTGCGAAGCTAAGTAAAAATCCCGCCCAATCATAGTTTTTATGAGCTTCAACTCCCGTGCCGCGCTTATACTACTGCAGATTTCCCCTGGGACTACTGTTACTGGTCTATGTGACTTTCTAAGAATACCTCAGCTATCATAGCTTAATTCCGCCCAACGTTTGCCTACTCCACTTTTACTCAATTCACTACTTCAAAATAATGAGTTTGCAGCTAAATCGTTTTACCTTCTGATTAATTTCCCAAAAGACAAACTTACCACCAATGCTGAGTAGAGTGACCAAATCCTGTCTCAAAGGATTGGGGCTAGGAAAGCTGGCTACTCTGCGTGTTAATTCCGAGGTTCCTTATGCGTTTTTGGTGCAAAACCTCCAAAGGTCAATTAAAAATCACCCTGAGAAAACGCCGATTCAAATTTTCAGATTCGGGGTACGATACCTATGGGGATCTTATCTAACAAGTTTCATTCCATAACGTCATTACTTCCTAAGTTATCGCATTTTAAGGTCAATTATCCCTTTTCCTGGGAAACGGCTATTAACACGGGAAGGAGCTGCAGGAGGGATTTTAACCACAGGGGTGGTAACTAGCGTCCATTGCCGTCATCAAACCATTATGACTTTGCTCATTATTTGGCGTAAACTGCCTATTTCTGGGGCAAAAGTTGTTTTCCCAAGCGTTTTCTCAACCGTCAGCTTAGGCTCAATTTATACATCATCATGTCCTTTGTCACCTATTATATCGCAATGCTTTGGTTTCCTGCGTTCACTGGGGCCCGCGAAACGACTTCCGTTAGTCGAGAAGGTGACTATTTGTTTAAAGCATAACACTGAAAGTACGGATTCACTAAACTTTGGTACCATTCCAACCGCTAGATACTGAAGTTGATAGGGCTATTTACTTTTCCAGGAACTGTTATCGCCTATACAGGAGGTGTCCGAGGGGTCAGGGTTTTTGCATGCCGGCATCAAATAATCTCTAGTATCTGTCTTATGAGTTTCATAAAAATAGCTTCCTTAGTTCTCACTTTGCAACTTTTCTAATTATCGGATTGATTACTCAATATACTCAATTCCAAGCTACGTGCTTCTCAATAACTTTATAATGCTGCATGCATTTCTCAAGGTAAGAATCCTTTAGCTTTTTTTACTTTGCCGAAAATTTCTTAGGATCACCATTCCTACAGTTACTTAAATGATGTAATTTGGAAGAAAATGCTTGCTATGCAACATCATGACGTTTTCTTTCGTGATGCGTTTTCTGCGTCGAAAAATGGTCACGCGTTTGATTTCACACTTAGCTTTGAATAAGATGGAAGTTGGTGTATTCAAATTTTTGTTGTTATTTTACAGGAGTAAGCCAAATACATGAGTAAATCAAATACAGTAAACCAATTAAAGGAGTAGAATAGCCAGTAATATTTTAGTAAAACGAATACCGAGGTCTTTATTAGACCTAAGAGCTTAACCGTTGTTCGTGGAATACATAATCATAATTCATTGAATATAACATTTCATAGATGTACGCCTGAAACCCGGGTTGGGGTGCTCTACTTATGATTTGACTTTGAAAGCCCAGCAATTGCAGTTTTGCGACTGAAATTCAGCGTCCGGGAAGCATTTTTAAATCGAGCACAAAGTTGAAATATACCCGAGTTCGGTCAAGTGAGTCAAAACATAAGTCGAGCACAGTCGAATTATACCCTCAAAACATAGGTCGAGAAGGATAAATTTTATGTCGAGTACAGTTGAAACATAGGTCGAGCACAGTCAAAACATAAGTCGAGCACAGCCAAAGCATACCGAATTCTGGTTGAGAAAGTCGAAACATAGGTAGAACACAGTAGAAACATAGGTCGAGCGTTCGAGCTCAGTCGAAACACAAGTCAAGCACAGTCAAAATTTGCCTGATTTTAAGTAACAAAAGCCACTAAAATGTTTTAATAATGCAAATATTTGAAGGGTCTTATTCGGATGATGTTCAGTTTTACCACTGATGGTACCTAATCAAAATCTTGCCTTTATAAATATCGGATCAACCGTACAATATCCCCCCAAACCGATTCAGGGGGAAAAAATGCAACTTTTTGATAAGATAATTCCGAGGAGAAATTTATACCACCTTACTAACAAGGATAAATTATCGGAACAATAAATAAACGCCAATTCAACTGATTGTGTATCAAGATAAAAAAATTTATGAACAATCTCAGAAAGATTAAATTTTGCGAGTTCATTTGAAATGCTTATTTTTTCAGCATTAGTTTTAAAAATTACTACATGCTTGGGGAGGGCATTCTATGCGATAGGTTGCTTAGGTGGGATTTTACAGTTGATTCAAGTTATCCACTACGGAAGTATGTATATACAGCAGGCCTTTTGCAACAAAAAGCAGTTTTTCATGATTTCTTAAAAACAAGACAATTTATGTAGCACTTTAACTGTTGAGCTTACGATTGAACACTCTATCACAGGAGCGGGTTTAGGAAGGGGGTCGGCGGACGCCCCTCCCCCCTCAAGGATTGGACCCCCCGCCGACCCAAATGGTCCCCCTTTGTACTATTTTGGGATATCCATTTTTGGTGACGGACCCTAAAGTTTTTCTAAAGGCGCCTTTGGCGCAAATATATACTAATTTTGAGGGGGGAGCGCGCGCAGAAAAAATGCAATTTTTTGGTCAAAAGTTTCCAAAAAGTGTTCAAAAACGCCTTTTTTGGCAAACCTTTTCAAAAATTAGCCTGCTGCGCAGAAAATTAGGCCAAAACAGGGACTTTTTAGTGCTTTGGGAGAGCTCGAAAAATCAATTTGGACGACCTTAAAAAAAGTCGATAAAATTTAAATTTTTTTTTTGAAAATCCGCCCTCCCCCCTCGAGAAAAAACTTGATCCGCCCCTGCTCTATCATAAGTTGGGGTGAATGCATCGTGCAAATCAAAAATCTAATAAAAGGTAACTCCCAATAAAGTCCAATGAAATTCAAAATAATGTTTAAATTTAAAGAGGTGAGAGGTCTACTTCCCAAGTTTAAGACCCCCTTAAGTGACGTTCCATAGAATGAACTCCCCAAGCATGTATCAATTCTAAAAGATAAATTTTTGTATGACTGGCCTTAAAAACTTTCTAAAGCCGCCTTTGGCGCCAATATACAATAGTTTTGAGGGGAGAGCGCGCGCCGAAAAAACGCCAAAAAATCAATTTGGTCGACCAAAAAAAATTTGAAAATCCGCTCCCCCCTCCCCTCGAGAAATTCCTGGATCCGCGCCTTGACGATTGGTACTCGCATGATTTCGAACAAAAAGACTGAAAGGCTGATAGTACCACCCATCCTCATGCCAGAGTTGGAATCTGCGAGTAATAAAACAAAAAAGCTAAACGCACTCTAACTGGGACGAATTGGTAATATTAAACAGTGCATTGAGAGGACAGCACGCTAAAGGTGTTCAAGCTTTCGAGAATGAGGGGCTCAGAACAAATAGGAGGCGTTATGACCTTCTGCTGCTAAAAGCGATGACATACGGCCGGCAAGGTGAACTAATCATTTTGACTCGGTTTCGTGAGCAGATTGATGCGGGATTATAGGCATTTGTTATTGATTTACTTGCTGCATTAGAACTAAAAGAATATATTTGAGTTGGCAAATTAAATAATTATACAGATTTTGAAAAACCGCTTTTTTCGCCGTATCGGAAGCGTGACGTCTGATTTTCTGCGCCCAACAAATTTTAAGACTTTTCCTGAAAAAATTAACTACGTTCTTCGATTTGGTTTAGTTAGCAATACATTACCGAACATTGCTGAAAATAAACTTATCTGAACTATTTTCAATTCGCAAAATAGTTTCTGTGTATTCTCGATTTTTACACAAAACAAAAATTATAAACGGAAATAAGTTAAATTTCATAATTTGCATTTTACATATGCATATAGAATCAATCATCTTACAAACATTCAGTTTTTTACTTTACGAGTTGAATTCAGTTTTTCAGTTTACAAGTCAGTGAATGTTGGTTTTCTTTTCTCTTTGAAGGCAGTCATGCCCTCTTTGTTGTCATTCTGAAATATCAACAAAAGTGAGGTGTGATGCATCGAGAAATGGGTTGAAAATAAAATGAAACCTTAACACTTACAGTTGCGAATGAAAACTGATACAATCTTCTCTCGTAGTTGCATCCCTCAGACAAGCTCATCTCGTAGGCTGAAATACCAGAAAATGATTTATTTTTGATGGTTCGAAATGGCAACCTTGAACCTGCAAGAACTGTTTTAAACAGTGGGCACACTGCTCATTGTTGGTACATAATAAGTTTATCAATTTCCCAAGACATTCGAATTTAAAGTGAGTTAAATTTCCATATGATGATGTTGATCATGATTAGACTTCACTGCACGCGTGTGGAAATTCGACTTTCCGGGATTAAAAAAGGAAATTATTCTTCTACATGTGGGCAAAAACAATTGGTCATGCACACTCACCATTGTTGACAGACTCCTTGCACATCATCGCAATCATTTTGGGCATGCTCGCAATCTTCTCTGCCGTCTCAATTGTCTTATCCAACAACTCTCCCGAGGGAAAAACTGCACTGACTAATCCCTTCTTCTCCGCCTCTTCAGCCGAAAGTCGCTTAGCCGAGAGTACCATCTCCATAGCCAGTGATTTCCCAACTGCTCTCGTGAGACGTTGGGTTCCTCCTGCTCCCGGAATGGTGCCCAAAGTTATCTCTGGCTGGGAAAAAGAGGCTTTCTCGCCAGCGTAAATTATGTCACACATCATTGCTAGTTCGCAACCACCGCCTAAAAACAAAACTTAATAAAATTATTACCATTTTCTACGATGGAAAGCCATTAATCAGATGTCCACCTCCATGAATTGATACACATTAAAATTCTGTATGCCATTTTGTTAGAGATTTTTTTATTTGACCCATGTTGCCTTCCACTCAAATCAAGGAGTGAGCATCGGCTACGATTGGCCACCAATTATTCCTTTAATAAGAGGCGCGCTTATTCACTATCAATCACAATATTACCACGAAAAAATAAGGTTACAACTAAAATTGTACCATCACATTTGCTCACCCAAAGCATGGCCATCAACTGCAGCTATAATTGGCTTTGCAATCTTAGTAATATCACTCCAGTCTCCGAGATAATTGGTTTTGTAGTGAGTCTGGAACGACAACGAGGACATTTCTGTAATGTCAGCGCCTGCCGCAAATGCCTTTTCATTGCCAGTTATAATACAGCAGCCGATTGAGTCATCAGCTTGAAAGAACTTCAAGGCAGCAATTAGTTCCTCCATCAAGGGTGTGTTCAGAGCATTCAAAGCCTTCGGTCGGTTGAGTTGGATTAGACCAACATTGGACTTTTCTCCTTTAGTGGAGACGATGATGTTCTTGTACTCCGTGGAAGCCATTCTGAGAGAAATGAGTTTGGATGTAAAAATTGGTTCGTTTCTTCCTAGTACCGTGGATACCACTCGCTTCGAGTTTCTCAAAAACAAACCATTCATGGATACTGTCTGAAAAATATATTAACTTTTGGGCACCGATAAAAATACGTTTTAACGATGTAAGCCAGGAGCAGAAACTATCGGCTTTAGGGAGGTTAAAGGCTATAAAATTGTCTCTGAGTATCTGTAGGATGGAATTTTTACTAACGCATGCTTTGGAGGCGAAGCATGGACTTTCAAGGGATTTGATTTTCGAAAACAATAAAGTTTTGTAGACCATTTTTTTAGGTCGACCAAATTGATTTTTTGAGCTCTCATAAATCACGAACATGTTTCATTTTCTACTGCCATTTTTTACATCACAGGTTTTAGGTCTTAGTTAAAAGTTATTCACAAAAAAAAGTGTTTTTTGACGTGCGCGGGCCTCTCAAACTTAGTGTATATTGGTGCCAAAGGCAACTTCATAAAAGTGCCAAGGCTGATCAAATAAGAATGGATATCGTAAAATAGCCAGAGCCGCCTTTGCATGGCCAGGGGTCGAAACACCGAGAAGGAATGGAACCACCCCGCCTTTTGTTTTTTAAATTCTACCCCTACCCTGCTAGGTCTCACGAGGTTATAATGCATGATTTAAATTAATACTAACACAAGCATACCGACGCTTACTTCACAACCGCAACTTCAGCGAAGGACCCCATCAAGGTGCATTCAAAAGAACCAAGCTAAACCAATTTAATCTCAGCCGAAGCAAAACGGTCGTGATTTTCAATAAAATGTTAAAATATTTGCCCGATTTTGAAAAACCATTATGACTTATAGTTCTGCGTGCAGTGACAACTCTTGGAAAATCTCAACTAGTATCAGTGATGACCAGATTATAGTATTCTATTATAGTCTATAATAGCGTGGCTATCATAATGCGCTATATTGACACGTCTGTTCTATTAATAGAAATACTATAATAGAACGCTATTAATCACAGCTATTGCCGAGCGCTGATCAAAGTAGCTAATATTTCATTGGCTGAAGACTTGAAATCTCATCTTTTAGCTTACACTGTGTAAGTTACAGATAAAACAAGACTGCTCGTATCAGGGCGAAGCCCTGAATGTTCCGACTGCGTTTTAAGGTTTATGGAGCCGTAATAAAATAAAAAATTCAATGAAATTAAATAAATTGAAATTTTTTTTCTGAATTTGAAAGTTTTTTTTAAATGAAAATCATCCCCCACACGCCATATAAAGTACAAAAGGATAGATTTTGCTCCTTGTAACAAACCATTTATGGCAAATAAGCTTCTTTTAACCAATTTGGAACGATTTCTAAGACGGAAGAAATATCCGCTTACGCGTTAATAGCGCGAAATATATCGCGCGTTAATTGTCCAAATTGGCCAAAATGGCAATCTTTAAACCCCCGTAACTTTACGAAAAATGATCGAAGGTGAAATATCTTTTCAAATTTGAGCTCAGGACAACAATACCTTTCGAATGATATAAAAAAATTCCGTCAAAAATGGCTAGTAAAAAAGTCGAAATTTGTCTGAAAAAAAACCCACCCGAGCACAAATATTCCGTTACTTTCGTATCGAAAGTCGGAACAATAACATTCGTTGCATATCCTATTATCTGCAATAACTACCTAATTTTGCTCGTTTTTGCTTCAGTGTTTGAAATGGCACCAACTAAATCGGCAAAACGGATAAAATTGGAATCCAATTTTTTAGGAAATCTATTATAGAATACTATAATCAAAGTATTATAGAATTTTGAGGATTATATTCTGTAATCGACGTTAATAGGGTCATCACTGACTAGTATATTTTAGTTAACGCAACAACTCGCATGAAAAATATGAGGACAGTTGCTCCGAAAGTGACCCAGATAGTGCCAGACTAAAAGTAGGATGTTGGCGAACATCGAACTTATTCAAAAGTTTCTTAAACAACAGATGAAATGTAGTCGAAACTAAGTAGTTTGAAAGCTAAGGGCAAAATCGGTACTGATATTGATGAGGTCATACGAGCTGTTTTTTATATTTTTGTGTTTTTATGCGGATATGTCATCTAGAAGCATTTGCTATGCGACAAGAAGGTGTTTTCTTGATTTCAGATTCCAGCTGACAAAACTGAAGTTATTTGAAGTTAAGAGCCAGTCCGATGAGGTTGGATATTCGTTGATGCATAAAACAGCTAAGACAAAAAACCCCAAAAAAAAATCGGAGTTGCCGAATGTTTATGACAGATTTATGAAACTTAATCGATAATTCGGCGTAACCTTTGGATGGCTAATATATTCTACTCATTTTCGAATGGTTAAAACTTCAGCTGGGTTTTTAAAAATTAGGCATTTAGTCATGCAGATTTCCAATAAAAATGTTGGAAATGGGTCAAATTCAAGAAAATCAAAAAACTACAGAATTTTTTAGAAGCAAATTAAAATGTATAAGAGCTTATGCAGCTCTTCAAATTTAACAATTTTTATAGCCATTTTTTATTAAAACTAAGCCAATCGATTTAAATTTGTTTCGAACTATCTGCACTTTTGTAATAGGTAAGCGTAATTTACTTTCCAAAAAAGTGAGCCTACACGGAAACACAGAATTGCGCCACTTGCCATACATTATAAAGAAAATAAAGAAAAAGGTAGCCGTAAGAAAATGAGACGAAAGCCAGTATGAAAAAAAAATGTTTTAAATTAGTTAGAATGAAGCTCATTTGAGTATAACGACGGATAATCAACAAACCGCCAAGTCTACAAACGCCATATCTTGAAGCCGAAATTGCATCAGAATAATGTAAATTACATCAGAATTAAGTAACAATTGCAAAACAACAATTACTATCTGTTGTTATACTGCATTACAATATTAATTTTCGGCATGTTGGAATGGTAATCCTATTTTCGGTTTTTTGGCCCTTCGGCTTGTTGGCCCACCGATTAAAACATGTCGAGGAAGGATTTGACAGCATGAAAAAAGCTTTGAAACACATTTTACGAGGCGAAAACTGAGCCAAAAATACTCGAGACGATAGTTGAGCCGATAAATGCTCCAAATGCATCTCACAAAGAAAATCTACCTGTCCTACGAATGCCAGGAGAGGGAGATTAAAACGCTGGAAAAAGAAAAACTGCGGTGAATTGAGCTTTACAACATTATTACGCTGGAAAAAGAAAAACAGCGGTGAATTGAGCTTTGCAACATTTTCAATACATCGCAAATATAACATGGCGAAAGAAAAAATTTGTGAAAAGAAAATAAAAAATAAATACACCAAAATTTTCATATCAAAATTTGCTTCGAATGAAATTCATTTTAGAAGAACCAAGACGACAATTGCTGACCTGAAGGACAATTGCTGACCTCAACCTAGAATTAGAAAAAAACTTCCAAAGCCGTAACTAAGCCGACGATACTTGGGTAGACGACCGTTTAGCCCAAAAAATGGGCTTAAGACCTGAGCATAAAAGACATCAAATACTCGGAAGTTATTGAATCATCCTCAGCAAAAAAAATATCGACCAATTGCCCAACAAGCGACTAAATATGAGGCTACTAAGCCGATAAAACAAGCCGAAACATATTAAGCCAAAAAAAAAAAAGAGTCAATGAACGCAAGGACTAACAATTTTCAAAGTAGATATGGCCTTTAAGCTCTTTGAATTTCAAGAAAAAATAATGTTTCATACTTTTTTTGATAAAATTCACTCCGCTTGGATTCCGCTGGGAAATCTGAAAATTTAAATTAGATAGTAAAACTCGATCACATTTTTGTGTGACCTTTACACTCTTGCTTTTCGATAGTGGGAGTTGCCTTTCGATAGAGAAAATGAACTGAAGTTAAAAACAAAAAAAAAGTCGAACAGCGAAAAATCAAACTTGAGCGTGAACAATTTTAATGCATTTTTCAAATCTTTATCACGACTCTTACAAGAAACTTCACTAGGTTCATGTACTTTTAACAATTCAAAAATATATTCCAAAACGGGGTAGCCTCCAGGAGATGAGTCATCTTATCAATACTGTTCATGGGAAAAAGTATTGTACCCGATTATAACTCGATTGCTCTCACAAAGACAATCCTGAAACATTTTATATCTGCGCAACTGCTGGCCCTAAACGGCCTGGTCGTGGATTTTTGTCGTTGAAAGCATCTATGCTCTCTCAGGACCGATTATGCAATGTGAGTGAGACACTGAACTTAAATTGATAATTAAACTGAACTTAGATAATTTAAGCTCTTAATTATTATAAATGTTTTTAAAAGCGGTAAAACGGTAAAAAAAGAAATAGAAAAAAGCACAGGAAAGACAGAGAAAATATTTGGAAAAGCAGCCCTAGAAATTTAAAAAAAGCACAGGAAAAACTGAAAAAATATTTGGAAAAAACTATCAACAATGATAGCGTGTTACTGTGCAAGTAGCACAGAATACCCCGACCAAATTCATGAAAACACTAAAAATGTTTTTTTTTAAATCAGTGTCTTTTTGAGCATGCTGTGATGAGAAAGCTACAAGAACGCGTATTTGTCATAATTGACAACAGTTTTCTTCGGAAAAAAAGTATGAAGAAAATCGGCCTATATTTTTTTGCAAAAAAAAACTTTTCAATTTTTAGAAATTTTTTTATTGCCATTAGAAGCTTCCAAAACTAATTTTCCCGGAGTAAAATTAAAATTTTCTCGAATTTAAATCGAATGAAAACTTTTAGTCCAATTTCGAGTCTTATAAGACCTCCTCGCTCGCTTTACTTGATCGAAATTAGACTGCATGTGAAAATTTCAGACCATTTCACGTTTCTCGTAACTGGGAAAACTTTTAAATTTCGTTCGAATCACAACTGAAAAGGCTTTAAGATTATATATCACTCGACTCATTCCAATGATCATTTGGGGCACCTGATTTTGCATGGTGAACAAACAAAAAAAACTAAAACACTCGAAGACAAAATTACTATCCATTTTCAACGGTGGCAACAAAAAGTAACAACCAAGGCACCTATCAAGGGTGTGTTCAGGGCATTCAAAGCCTTCGGTCGGTTGAGTTGGATAAGACCAACATTGGACTTTTCTCCTTTAG